AAATAAAAATTTGTAACAAATCAAAAAAATCATTTCGAATCAAAGAATGGTGTTATAAGGTGAGATGGCTACACTGATTGAATTATTTATTTATATTGCTCATTTATATTTACGCTGAGTCTGTTGAAAAAATATCCCATGATTTTTTAATTCGAAAACAAAAGGTTCCAAATAATGGTATAATTATTGTGGTCTTGTTTTTGGTATGATCTTCTCTTCTCGATCAGATGAACACGAAAAATCTTCACCATCAGACGATACGAATGAGACCATGGGAAGATAAGAAAGAAGATAAAAGAAAGATCCAGTATTCTCCAAGTTCTCCCTCCATGAATATATATCCAAATTTTAAATAATCCCCGAAAAGTTGTCAACCGATCCCCCGAAAACATTCAAAATAAAGTGTACAACCTACCGCGCCAATCGAAAAGCCCAAATCCAGAAGGTAAATCAGACAGTGAAAATCCAGAAAATCGTCGGCTACACAACATTTGGCTTTCCACCATACGGATTTAAACTTTATCACCCAGTGAAAATCTCTAAACAGCCCTCGATAGGACATAGAACAGTTTCACGAACGCGTGTGCCTATTCGTCAACGCTATCAGACCGTTTCTGTGCCGTCTGTGAACAACAAGGGGTGTTGGTCTTTTATTTTTCATTGTGGTAAAGGATCGGTCCGGTGATTTTCAAGAAAATGGTTGAAAATTTAGAGCGATCGCACGCGTACACATATCCCAGTGGTTAAAATGAGGGGTAGGGATGAGTGGTGAAGGTGAGAGGAAACGCTTATCGGGTCGCTTATCGCGTGCAAGGGCTTTAGGTGGATTGTCAGCATTGGCGACAGGCTGTATGCTCACAGTAACCCCACACATGGACATTGTCACTGTCCTCTGCGGGTTTGTATCTCCCTTTAAACGCCCGCAGGGGTTAACACCGTCCTCACATGCACAGATTTCCGTACTCTCGACAAATTGCCTGAATTATAGCGCTAAAAACGGTATCATCCCTTATATTATTTTTACCCATAAAAACCAAGGACACCCTTGGTTGGACATGGGCATAGGTTGTATAATGATTGCTCGGTAGCATCGTCATCACTAAAATAGAGAAAATCCCTGGAATATTCTGAAATCACTCACCCCCATTCACTCCCATTCACTCCCATTCACCCCCGCTCACCCCCCCCACTCACCCCTTCAATCGCTATCCAACTGTTGCCCAGGCTAAAGTTGTCAGGGAAAGTTTGTCGTGAATTTTCAGCAAAGTCGTTTATTGTCAGGATGGAGGGACCAGAGGACTACCCTCTCTCCACCCAATTCGTTTACTTTCTATTACTTTGTTTTATCAAGGAATGAGATCATTACCGTTGTCCAAAAGCTTGTCTCCTTTCTCTCACCCTATGCCACCCCTATCTTTTTTGGCCTGTCAAGATCTTGCATCGTTACTTTTTCTCAACCACCACCACCACCCCCAATTTCATATATATTCGACGGTGGGCAAACCAAGGCGTCTTTCGCATCTTGTGACAGTAATTTCACTTAATTAAATTCCGTTCTTTCTACTTCTTAGTTGATAGAAATCCTCGGCTTCCTTTTCTTTCTCATTCTCGAGGGTTCGTTTTTCTCTGAAAATCTTGTGTCATTTCGTTTTTCTCACTGATCGAGTGACGACGTCCGAGCACAGATTGTCCTCTTTTTATTTCACTTTCTTCGGGGCTGTCTTTTTTTTTTCTTCATGGTGAGCGTTTGCCGTTTGTATTAAATAACAAGAGGAGGATTTTCTGGAGCGGATAACGAGTCCCGGTCGTTCGTCGCGTGCCGTAAGAAATTAAGGGGACTCGAGAATTAAGGCACACAAAACTCAAACCCCATTCCACAGGCATTCTCTCCTATCTCACTTTAAAACTAGAGAGTACTGAGGACGATCTGGATCTTACCCTTATTACCACTTCATCTGCAATTAACATTTATGACCGGTGGAAAAAGTAATTAAATATTCTCCGGGTGATGCGGGATGAGCTGGAGAAACAGGAGACACGGGCTTTTTCACTCCACAATTCCGTTTTCGTTTGGGTATATAAAAATGAAAAGATTAAAATGACTGTTAAATATTTGACGCTCACAACCCGAGTCGGGTGTAAACTTTGTCTTGTACAAAAAAATTTTAATGATCACTGTTGGACCTTTTAATGCCCATTACCGCTGACCAGTTTTGGCCCACGGGGTGGGAGGGAGGGATGTTATTGTCTGTCCTAGTAATAATGCTATCCGCCGATGGGAAACATGCTAGTAATTAGTGTATATGAATTATTAAGCTGTATTGCTCTCCTTGCGGCTTGTAATCAAGCATTTCGTTATTACCGTTTCAAAACGCGTCCGAGGGATTTACTGGTATATGAATCCTGGAGAATGATTCATCCATGGAGAAAAATGTTCGCATCATTTCGTTGTGAACAATGTTATAATTTCAATTATTTTGTCCCATTCTAGTGGAAAAATTCCAAACCCTCAGTATTTCATTTCGCGGAAGGGGTTTAATTGGAAGAACTGACGGCCCGCTTTTTTTGTAAAAATAGAGACAGACAAATATATCGGAATTTTAAGTCCAACTTTTTCAACAATTTTTCATTGGAGAATCATTTTATTTCTGATAATAATGCTAATAATATTTCTGCAACTCCGGATATTGTCATATAACTGGCTTTAATTGCTCCGTAAAATTCAGACATCAAAAAAAGGCGGCAAAAATGAAATACAATTTTTCAATAATTAAAAGCTCGACATAATGAATATCAAATATGCATCTATTTATTTGTATTTTTTTTTACTTGACTCTTTCACCTTTTTCTGTTTTTAAAAATTTCTTCGCTAAATTTTCTATCAAATGAAAATGACTTACTCCAGGGGATAAAGTAACTAGTAATTTAATAAAGTAATTTTAATTTAGCTCGAGCTCGGCTTTAGCTGATCGGATAACTCTAAAGTGACTGTCTGGGTGAGATGCAGGGATGAAGTGAAAAGGCTGTTAATTCATCGTAATCACTGGGTGTGACTAAACAAGTGATTCATGTAATATTCTTTATTAAAATATCGAGAATACCGAAGGACCCTAAGGGCGTCCGATATTGCCTCGGGAAAAGGCCAAAATCCACTTGCCCCTAACCGGATCTCATCTGAAAAACTTATCAAACTTGTCTCAGTCCCTGCTCCGTCTACTTTTGCTAATTTAAATACCCTCTCCTCAAAAAAATTCAATACCGAAATATTTCACAACTCCTTCTTTCTTATGTCAGTGCTAAAATTTTTGAATGCTCCTTCATGGCTTGTATAGAAGATACAAAGCGTATTTATGACCATGCCACTATAAAGTAACCGTAAAATTACGGTACCCATAATTTTATCATGGCTCAGACATTAATCTGGTAATAAAAGTGAAGAGTTTGTTGGAATATTGGTGGGATTATTCTACTCCATGAATGTGTTGTCTCTGTATTCGATATTTAATCTTCTTTACCCTTTCAATTTATCCGGATGGATGGAAAAATACTTTCCATACTATTTGTACATGTTAAAAAGTTAAATTTACCACTTGTGTGACGTATGACTCACAAACGCGTCGATGGAAATTGATTCGAAACTCTCCAATTGTATCAGAGCAAAATTGGAATGTTCATATTGGATGATTCGAGTGAACAAATAACCCCAGAAAATTTATTATTCTTTTGACGTATTACGGTGCGGATGTGCAGATTTTCATTTGATTATTACCAGTACAAGCTCTGAATTAATACCTGAAACTCAAAGAGTACAACGAAATATCCTCGATTTTGTTAGATAAAAAACCAACCAAAATACCAAATACATAACATGGAAGTAAATACTGATGAATGACATTGTTAAAAGCGATGAAAGAATTCGCGGATATTGGAAGTACCCGATTTCACAAATGCTGGATATTAAAAAAAGGGGGATAACGAGAGAACGGATGGGGCATTCAGGCTAAAATCGAATTCCATTATTTGTGAAAAAAAAAAAAATTAGGATCAGTTTTCAATATATAAAAATAGATAACTCATGCCGACGTATGAAGAATGATTAAAGAAACCGAGAAGAGAGGGGTATGAAAATAGTTTAGTCATTAGGAGGCAGACCGGCGCAATGATATCTGATTACGCTCGGTGTGACGAATGCATATCCATGGAAGCAAAGTATATGACGACTCGTTAACGAGCCACATGTGAGCATCGCCTCATGGAATAAATCCGTCGGGTTGTTTTTTTTTATTTTATACGAGCTTGTCTGGTGAACTTGTCAGTGTTAACGCACTATGACATTAAATCAAGACTTACCGTCACTGATTACTATTTTAGATTATTTGTGATTAATTGTGCAATCGTATTATCACCTCATACCGATTTTTTATTTCCTATAGTAGTTCCCGCAGTGATTCCGCATTTTTTTTATTTTTCGTTCCGCCTTACGAGAACTTTACCCTTACGGTCATTTACGATCTCTTTTTCATATTAGGATGAGAATTAAAAATTCAGAATTATAATTTCATTCAGTGATTCTAGGGATTCCCTGAACCGTCGGTACGCGCGGAAATATTCCGCTGGAAAATTTGTGGCGGAAATTTTCCGGGAAATTTCTGAAATAAAAATACTTAACTGGACTCAGATTTAAAAACTAAAAAATTACAAGCAGATTACGTTTTCAAAAAATTTAAAAACAATTTTTTTTATGCTGAAATTTTTTTTTTTATTTATATGAATGAAAATTTCGAATGAATTTTTAAAAAATGGTGACGCGTCGTTGAACTTTCAATTTGATATGATATAAAATGCATCAAGAAAGTGACGTGAGCAATTGAATGGAGGAAATAGATGTGAATGTGTGAGATAAGCATGCGTGTTAGGTAAGGGATTGTGTAACAGCAATGAATGGAATAATGTTGGTGTTAACAATAGCGGGATAATGAAGATGGCTGGTGTTGCCCTACCTTGGTCGAAAACAAGGCAGCGGGTGGTCTTGGCAGCAAGTCCCGGGGGCAGAGCGAACCTGTAGGCCGGGCCCAGTGACAGCCCAAGGCCCAGACCGAGCGCCTCTGCGCCGCATCGCCCCCCGAACATAGGACCCACTAGAATCACCCACATAACAAACATCAGTCATCATCATTATCACTCAATTATCTCCATCATTCTAATCTACTTCCTCCATGCTGCTCTATCATTAAAAAATTAATAAATGAATTTAAAATTCTTAAAAATCCATAAAATAATTTAAAAAAAGGCAAATCCTGAAATATTCGAATTTTTAACGCAATTAGAATTTAAAAAATTCTTTATTTCCCGGATTTTCAAAGGAAATATTAAGGAAATATTTCCAGGGGTCTCAGGTTTGATAAACATGGAGTAATATTCAGAGAACACGCGAAATATTTTCGAAAAATGTACCGAAAAAATTGAGACAACTGATGGCTAGTCGAATATCATCTCCTCTGGATTCATAGTTTTTTTAATTAATACCGAATTGAAAACTGCAGTTTATTGCTTTTCACTGGAGTGCGTATATTCCCCGGACACGTGGCATACTCCCCCTCTGATAATTTCCTGTGCCTTTGAAGAGTAGAGTGAGCTTTTATCTCGTAATCAATAATCATTGAGTGCTTCAAGGTTAACCCTCATATGGTTGATTGTGATGTTATGATTTTAATACGGCGAATCAAAGGTTCCGATAACAAAGATGAATGATGATTTCATATATATTAACTATCACATGGAGATCTAATATTTATTTCACCGTGATTTATTTTATTTGGATCTAAAATTATTTAATTGTTCGATTAATTCCTCCCTGATATACTCGTTTAATTAATCAAATGGCAATACAAATTATTAATTTTGCACAACTATACGATATGTGCTCTCGTTATAAACATTAATAATTATCTCTTTATAATTTACATCATTAGCCTCAATAGCCTGTTCATGTTAGATAAAATTGGTAATGTCTGAGGGGCTTAACATACTCTTTTTAAATTGCGTCTTTGAGATGCAGAGCACCGGGATAGGAAGATGGTGGAGAAAGAAGAGCAAAGGATCTAAGGCAAGGTGAAAGGAAAAAAAAAATGGTCGGTACATTTTTTAACAGACAAGACGAACTGACTCGGCGCGGCCTTTGACTCGGTAGCTTACACGCTGATTAAGACACCCGATACAATTAGGCGGCAAGGGAGAACCTCAAAAGATGGGCATGGAAGAAGGGCTATGCCAAAAGGTAGATGGAATTGAGGCAGGCATACCGGGTGTCTGCTTCGAGAATCCATTGGCGGGATAAACCTTTGGAGCCCATAGAAAAGGTGATACCCATGGATTTTAACCCACTATCCACCACTTTGAATACAAATGAAACTAATCCCGATAGCCAGTTCCCCCGCACGAGCCTGAAAAATTTCTGAGAGGTTGAGTGATGTCAAGAAAAGTGCAATTGATAAATAAAACTTGATAATTTATTCAAGGAAATGGAATAAAAAATAACAAACCGGTGAAAATGAAAATGAGACCACCTGTGATCTCCATGAGTATCAAGCTTGCTAGCACGCGTTCAATTGCGTACACCATTTTTATTTCTCAATTCAAAGAGATCAATCTTATCCGTAGATGGAGTTCCACATGGAAAGTTGGGAGGAAGGAAGAAGTGCATTTTGAGTGGCGGGAGAAGACTGGCAGCTGACAGTCAATCCTTGGGATCTTAATCTCATGGGCGCGACACGCTCCGACAAGGAGTACATGTATGGAAATAAAAGGTTGAAAAATAAAGGAGATACTTGGTAGCAGTTGCTGAAGAAACAGACCACAAGTTACGAATGAGAATAAATAAAAGTAAAAATTGGCGAAGAGGCTTCATGGACGATTGAGAGTAGATCGGTGAATCCGTCGCTCTTGGTGCTTTTGCGAAAAAGGGGGATGAGAACTTCTCTCGGTCAACTTGACCGTATAGAGATACCCTGAATTATTCATACTACTTTGTCGTTGCCTCCAGTCTGGATTCAAGACCACGGTGTCCCTTCCTTCTCGACTGTTACCTCTTGTTTCGACGTTTTCGGCGAGTCTCACATGCCATCACAACACCCCTGCCATCGACTCCTCACTCCTTGAAAACTCTGTACATGGTCTTCTTGGTTTTATCATTCCACTATGACCATCATACAGATGCTGATGACACTTCATCATCATCTAGGAACTACCTAGTGCAACGGAGGAAATTCACAGAGTGAAAAAATAAAAAATGTGCCATAACACCAGTGCAACTGCACTGAAAAAAAAAATTACCAGAGAATTATTTTTTGAAAAATTGTTGGATTAACCCACAAAAATATAAAAATGATAATTGAAATGTTAATAATAATGATAAATCATTATTTATTTATCTTCCGATGCATTCTGAGAATAAAAATTTTTTCGTGTGAATTTTCGTGTCTCGAATTTGTTTAATAAAAGTAAAACCGTGTTTAAAAAAAAAGTGATTTTTTTTTCTCAGTGTGCAGTCAAGTTATACGGCTTGGTGGATGCCGTGAGATACTGTCATTCAATATCTTGTTGGGGAGTTGAATATGATGCCGGATCGGTGCAAATGCAACAACTTACAGCGATCGTATTATAAGAGACAAGCATGTTGGGTGGTGTGAGGAAGTCCATGTACACTTTGAAGAGAAAAATTCAATTTCATGGGTAGTTGACGAGCAATTGCCAAGACGATGATGATGATCTCATGATGAAGATGATGTGTGATCTCCAAAATGATTGAGCGGAGGGGATCGATCGAATTGATTTTTCTCAGGCCGTTCGAGTTTCATTGGTGGTTGATATTTCATACAGACCAGGGTAACACGCTATATCCTCCATCGTCATCCTCACCCTCTCGTATAACTATAGATGGTATGTATTGTTTTGCATGAGCAAAGTACCCTTGAACAAGTGCGGTTTCGCGTCCGGGCCCTCTCATCCGTACACCGAGTGGTTGGGTTTTCTCCCACACCGTTGAGTTTGCTAGAGTACACAAAACCGAGGATACAACGAGGTACCTCTTCCCGTATAAAAATAAAAAAAATTGCCGGAATTATCGATTAACAGGATGAGGAATAATGCAGATACTCTTCGGTTGAAGACAAGAGGGTAGATGAAAAAAGCGAGTCTACCGTAAAGTATGTGAAAAGAAAAAGGAAACGATTGGACATTCCATTGGCAAACGATTAAGTCTTAAACAGGGGTCCATAGAATGCACCACACGACGTCGAATGAATGTCCTCATTGTCTCAACAGAGTGCAGGAGCGTGAGAAAACTTTACACACGATAATTCCACCCAGCATTTTCAAGTATTTCGATATAATTAAAGCAATACATTTTCGTTAATCGTGAGGATGTTTAGTGTTGAGAGGCCAAGCTCAACCCAACACTTCGAATCTTATTCACCCAGTGGAGTATTTGAGATCCTAAGTGTCTCAGGATTGTGGATATGCTGGTAGAGGGTCTCTACTGCTCCTGGAAATCGAACCTGAGGGGGAAATTTGGAGTTATAGCTTCGATATACCCGAAACAAGTCATCGAGACTTATGTCGCTTATGCGGAGGATTACATCCCGTATTACAGAGGACAAACATGTCTTTCGTTTTGCCAATAAGTATCATGAGCTTATTTCCCCGCATCTCATGCATAGGGGGTGAAATATGTTGGCGTGAGAGACAAGGGTCGGGGGTTGAAAACCATTTTCCAGATCGAACGCTCAAGCCAGACTACTTAAATCTTCTCTAGACATACACCTTGGAATTTTTCTCCACCCGTGGATTTTAGCTTCTTTTTTTTCGAAAAAAAAAAAAATAAAAAATCTTCTGCTCGACTTCTCTCCTCCTAACGAGCCACCCCCGGTCCTGAATACTTTACCAGTAGCGGCACAGAGGGTGAAGTGCCTCAGAAAAGCGCACCCCCAACCTCCACCGGTGAAGTATCTCTCTGGTCCTCCAGAGTCGACTGCCAGGGGTCGGATCTTTTCCTTGTAATTAATTTAAGCGACCGCTTTTCACCCCTCAGCCGCTATCTCACCCCCCCACAACTCTCAGTGGGCTTTTTTTCCAGCCGTAATACTTTTTCCCTTAACGGCAACGATGACCCTTCCATCCGTCGCTCCACCATGTCCACTCGACTCACACGACACATCAAGATTTATTAATCAAATTATCATTGAGGATGAAATTAATTTCGCGGTGATAGTTTCACAATTTTTTATATAATCACTCTATTTTAATTGCTGAGAGGATCTCGAAACGGGCCGATTGGAGTTGAGAGTGCGAGGTGAATCTCAGATGCGTAAAAGGTGAGAGTTGAGGGAAGAAAAAAATTAAAGTAAAAAAGATAAAGGGTGATCTGTAGGCGCGCCGCGAGAAACCGTTTATTACACGGTAGGTGGAGGTGGAGGAGGTGGAGGAGGTGGAAGAGGTGGAGGAGGTGGAGGTGGTGGAGGAGGTGGAAGAGGTGGAGGAGGTGGAGGGAGATGAGAAGGAGGAGGATGAGGAGGAGGAGGGCGAGGAGGGGGAGAACGAGGAGGAGGACAGAAAAACCTGCGGTTACCGAATGAGGTAAAAGGTATAAACCAGAAGCAGATGAGAGAGATGAAAAATATTGGGTAGGTTTGCACGTCGATACGGAGGTGGAGAATATTCGAGATGCATTATTCATGGGGTGTGAGAAGATACGATATGATCCAATATGTGGGCTTACGCATATAGGCACCGTACCTATTCTACTTTCAACGAGTTACGTTCAAGGTGCGCCCCTAAGCTCGTGAAAATTGACGCCGGAATTTTCCTCGTTATTTTTTCTCCAGCTACAGCTGTTCATTTTTCACCCTCCCTCAGACCTTCACCGATTTGCCTCGGCATTTTTCAGTGGCAAAGAAGAGCAGAAAGAAAAAAAAAATGAAAAATTTGGGAGAGAGAGGGAGAAGGGTTGGAGAGAGTTTTGTGTACACGCACGTGTGCAAAGTGCTGGAGCGAAAGGACGAGATCGCAGAAGACGGTGAAACGGCAAGCAAACGCCAAACGTATTAACACACAATGAGATACTTTTGTTTTTGTATTTCGC